GAGGTCAAACCACCGATTAAGATCATTTTTAACTGAATTGAGGACTGTTCTAAAATTAATTTTGTATAGTTCAGAAGTGTTGGCAGATATTTGAATTCTTAAATACGTAAATCCTTCCATAGACCATCTGAAGGGAAAATTAGGTGGAGGATTCCACTTGCCCCTTTGAGCCCCTGGGGGTAGGGCATCTGATTTCTCAAAATTGATTTTGATCTGACCAAATTTATTAATGATAGAAAGTAGAATTGGAATATATGTCTCTGGCTTAGTAATAAACAACAAAACATAATCTTCATAAAGTGAAATTCAGTGTTAGTCAATTGAATGCCAGTAATATTAGGAATACTCCTCATAGCCTCTGCGGCCTCCGCGGCTCCAAAGCCAATACAAATACACTGTAGTAGGAGGGAAAGGGGACAGCCCTGAAGCGTTCCCCGGCCCAAATGGAAAACCTCTGAGACTGAACCATTGACCAGAACCCCACTGTATAACAATTTCACCCACTGAACATATTCGGGTCCCAAAGCAAGGAAATGTAATATACTGAATAGGTTCCCCCACTCCACGCGCTCAAATGCTTTTTCAGCGTCTAATGAAATAGCAAGGGCTTTAAATTGCTTATTTTGTGAAAACTGTAGGATGTTTAGGAGTCGACGCATGTTGGAGTGGGAGTACCTATTTTTTACAAATCCTGTCTGGTCAGGCTTCACCAGAGTTGGTAGTACCCCCTCCAGCTTCCTCGCCAAGACTTTAGATAGAATTTTGCATTCCACACCGAGCAGCTTGATTGGTCTGTAAGAGGTGCACATATCATGAGGCTTATCCTTTTTCAGGATATATGTGCTAAATTTAGAGTTGGTGGGAGAGTTCCACGCCCAAGTGACTTTCTATACATATTTAACAGTGGACTCACAATTTTCTTTGCCATTTTTTATAGAAATCAGGCCCAAACCCGTCTGGACCTGGGGACCTTCCACCCTGCAGAGTCTGTATGGCCTTTAGAACCTCCTCAGTTGTTATGGGACTGTCCAAATCTAGTCTTTCTTACTGTGATAACACAGGGAGATTGGTGCCATGAAAAAAATCCTCATTAAGATTTACTCTGTCGTCACACTCAGAAGTGTAACATTTCTGATAAAACTCCTTCATTATTTCACAAATCTGTTTTGTTTAAAATGTTAAATTGCCTTTCTGATCTTTAAGAGAGCATAAAGCAAAAGATCCACTCTTTCCCTGAGCAGGCCGGGCAAGAAGGCGTCCCAGTTTATTTACAGATTCAAAAAGTCTATGTCTAGCATAAAGTATAGCATTTTCTGATTTTTGAGTAAGTAATTGGTCTAAAGCTGATCTTGCAGCATCTCATTTTTTACAGCAGACGGCGAGGAGGAGTGTTTAAAATCCTGCTCCAAAATAACAACTTCCTGTTCAAGTTCTAATTGTTTCGTGATGTTATCCTATTTTGCGGCAGTAAATTATATTATAGAGCCTCTATGAAATGCCTTGCCTGCCTCCCACAAGGTAGAGACACAAATCTCTGATGTATCATTCACAGACATGAATAATTCCCATTGGTCCTCCAAGTACTTCAAAAATAAACCAGAGTCACCCAGAAGAAAGGGGTTCAAACGCCAACGCCTTGATGAGGGATCATAAAAGGGCGGTAATAATTTCATAGATGCAGATGGGTAGTCTGAAAGGACACATGAAGTAATGGAACAGAGCTCGGCCCTTTCAAGAATGGATCTAGAGACAAATAGAAAGTCAATTTTGGAGAAAGACTGATGAGGACGTGAAAAAAAGGTGTAGTCTCTAACACCCGGGTTACAAATCCTCCAAGCATCAAGAAGACCAAGATCAGAGCAGAACTCGGATGTCGCCCTCCCCATTCTGGTTGGGGGCTGTTCTTGGGTGCATTGTAATCGCTCACCTGATCAAGCCCACAATTGAAATCACCACCTATGGAGGAGGCGTCTGCTAGAAATGTTGAATAAAATTGACTTTCAAATGAATTGGAGGCACACACAGTTTCTATTCATATTTTTTCTCCGTATGAAATCCCAGTTATTCCAATAAATCGTCCCTCTTCATCTTTTACAATCTTATCAACAGTAAATGGTAGGTTTTTATGGATAAGTATTGCTACTACCTTTCACAATGATAATAAAAAAGGAAAGTATTTTAAATGTTAGGTTCCCACGCTTTAAGACCAATTATCAAAACGTCATTGAGTCTCATCGCCATCGCCATCTTGTTTTTCTTATCAACACAAACAGAATTTGTTTCACTCAATCACCTGCTTGGAGGAAATGACCAAATATGGGCCTGACGTGATTGTGTGTTAGCGTGACTCAGACTTGAAGAGATTACGAGACTGGAGAAAAATGCACAACAGCTGGAGACAGGAGAAGAAGAGAGAAGGAGAGAGAAGAAGAAGAGAGGAGAACAGAGAAGAAGAAGAAAGAAGAAGAGAGAAAAAGAGATACGAAAAGAGAAGAAGAGAGGAGAGAGAAGCTGATGGAGCCAGACTCTTGCACTTCACTTTAAACATCTGCTGAGCTAAGGAATGAGGTGTGTGTGTGTGTGTGTGTGTATCATTCTTCCTCTCTCTCACACACCTCTCCTCTCTCTCTTCTCTCACACTCCTCTCCTCTCTCCCACATCTCTCTCTTCTCTCTCACATCTCTCTCCTCTCTCTCCCTTCCCTCTCTCCTCTCTCTCATCTCTCTCCCTTCCCTCTCTCCTCTCTCTCGCAGACTTTGACTCACTTCCTGGTTCATGTCTGTAGCGTCATGAAAAACCATGGGGACAGTGGTTGCCGTGGGATCCACAGAGAGACGTCATTAGTTTTCAGCCTCACTCTGGACTGAAGAACCACCAATCAGGGCCTCTCTCTCTCTTTGGCCTCTCCCTGGTCTCTCTCTGGTCTCTCTTTGGCCTCTCCCTGGTCTCTCTCTGGTCTCTCTTTGGCCTCTCCCTGGCCTCTCTCTGGTCTCTCTCGGTCACTCAGTCTGGTCTCTCTCTTTCTCTCTCTATCTGTCTGGTCTCTCTTTCTATCTGTCTGGTCTCTCTTTCTATCTGTCTGGTCTCTCTCTCTATCTGTCTGCTCTCTCTCTCTCTATCTGTCTGGTCTCTCTATCTCTGTCTGTCTGGTCTCTCTTTCTTGCTCTCGCTGGTCTCTTCTCTCTTATCTCTATGTCTCCCTTTATCATTCTTGCTTCCTCCCCTGCTTCCTCCCCTCCTCTTTCTCTCTCTCTAATTATCTCTCGCTGTCTGTTTCTCATCGCTCTCTTTTTCTCATTCTCTCGCTCACATTGTTGCTTTCGCTCTCATCTCTCTCTGGTCTCTCTTTCACTCTCTCAATCTATCTTTATCTATATATCATTATCTCACTACATCTCTCTTTCTCATTCTTGCTTTCGCTCTCTCTTCTGGATTTAAAGTAGGGTTATGTGATGCAGTCCGACTCTCATTCCTCGGGTCTGAATCCTTTCACGAGGCGCTGTGTCGTGGAACATGTGCTGTTTTCATTCATTCATGACCTTCACGCGCTCAGACCACAGCGCCCTCCTGTGGATGTGACGTGACACTGACGCTTAGAGGGTTGCGTCCGAATTAAAGCTCGAATACCTAACTTTTAAACCTACAAGCTACTCCCCCTGAAAACAGTTTGATTCTATCCAGACCTCTGAAGCTAAGCAGGGAAGGGCCTGGTTAGTCCTGTGATGGGAGACCTTGGGGAACACCAGGTGCCACAGTGGGGCGGCTGCGGCTGTAAAATGCCCTTAGGCAAGACACTTCACCCACATTAGAATGAGTCTGGTGTGTGTGTGTGTGTGTGGAGGGAGGGGTTGATGTCACAGATGTTTGTTCTTGTTAAGTTTTAAAACACAACAACACAATAATGTTCAGTTTTGTCTTTATTCTCTTTTACAAACATGTCATTGTTTTGAAAGAAGCAACACTTCTGTGGTCTGGAGTTTGGAGCTCAGAGATCAGCTCAGGTCCACACACTTGTACACACATACATACATGAATGCACACACACCCGTACTCGCACACACACTCACAAATACACACATACACAGATATACTCACACATATACAGATATACTCATACATACACACAGAGACACACACATGCATACACACACAGAGACACTCACAGACTCACACACATACATACACTCACATAGATACTCACAGACTCACATACAGTAGACACTCACAGACACACACACACACACACACACACACACACACACACACACACTCACACATACACACACAGACAGGCACGCACACACAGATACACATAGACGCACACACACACACACAGACGCGCACACGCACACAGTCCTATTGCTTGTTCACATGTGAATCAATATGATCGATATGTTGTTGGAGTCACACTGAACTCGCTTCTCAGAAGCAGTGAAATGGTCACATGTCTTAGACATCGTAAAACATGACGTTACAGAGATTACAGATTACACACAGATTACAGATTACACACAACAACAGGAGGCAGATTAAAATCATAACCAGTTTAAAAACAGAATGATCAGATGAAGCTCATGGACGATAAAAAGAAGGCCCTGGAACATTGTGAGTTTATTGCAAATGTGTTTAGTCTTTTCTGCTGCTATTGATTATATTCTTATTTCATTACCATAAATAATAATAGTTAAATAACATTGATCTTTTTCCTAAATCTATAAATGTGGAAATGTAGAGTTGGATTTGTCGACAGGAGAGAGACATGACATCACTGACTTCTAACATACGGTAGAGTAATAATCGTTCATAAATATATTGTCGTCTTTCATTATATACACATTTTTAATACATACATTTTCATCCGACATAAAAACAAACAAAACAAAGCTTGTGTTAAAGGAGCTCTACGTGACTTTCAGAGGTTTGTGTTGTTTTGTCTGGAACTTTCCACAGTCCAGCTTTAAGTTTTTATAAAGAGTGATTCCCGAGGTCTAAGGTACAGGTCAGGTCTGTGGAGAAGAGAGCAGGTCTGTGGAGGAGAGAGCAGGTCTGTGGAGGAGAGAGAAGGTCTGTGGAGGAGAGAGAAGGTCTGTGGAGGAGAGAGCAGGTCTGTGGAGGAGAGAGAAGGTCTGTGGAGGAGAGAGCAGGTCTGTGGAGGAGAGAGCAGGTCTGTGGAGGAGAGAGAAGGTCTGTGGAGGAGAGAGCAGGTCTGTGGAGGAGAGAGCAGGTCTGTGGAGAAGAGAGCAGGTCTGTGGAGGAGAGAGAAGGTCTGTGGAGGAGAGAGCAGGTCTGTGGAGGAGAGAGCAGGTCTGTGGAGAAGAGAGCAGGTCTGTGGAGGAGAGAGAAGGTCTGTGGAGGAGAGAGAAGGTCTGTGGAGGAGAGAGCAGGTCTGTGGAGGAGAGAGAAGGTCTGTGGAGGAGAGAGCAGGTCTGTGGAGGAGAGAGCAGGTCTGTGGAGAAGAGAGCAGGTCTGTGGAGGAGAGAGCAGGTCTGTGGAGGAGAGAGCAGGTCTGTGGAGGAGAGAGAAGGTCTGTGGAGGAGAGAGCAGGTCTGTGGAGGAGAGAGAAGGTCTGTGGAGGAGAGAGAAGGTCTGTGGAGGAGAGAGCAGGTCTGTGGAGGAGAGAGCAGGTCTGTGGAGAAGAGAGCAGGTCTGTGGAGGAGAGAGCAGGTCTGTGGAGGAGAGAGCAGGTCTGTGGAGAAGAGAGCAGGTCTGTGGAGGAGAGAGCAGTGGAAGAGGTAGTAGGAGGGAGGTGTAGGGTCAGAGAGGGTTTGGGTCTGTGTGTGTGTCTATTTCTGTTTGTCTGTTTTTGGGTCTGTCTGTGTGCGTGTGTCTGTGTGTGTTTCTGTGTGTCTCTGTTTGGGTCTGTTTGTTTCTGCGTGTGTGTCTGTGTGTGTCTGTGTTTGGGTCTGTGTGTGTGTGTCTGTGTGTGTTGGGTTGTGTTGTATGACTAAGAGGTTGGAGCCAAATATGTTCCGTCCGACCTTATTTCCCGTTTTATTTCTTTAAAAAAAAAAATCTATTAAAACCTTAAATCAAATTCTTCCTACTACAAGTACATTTTGACTGTTTTAACCCTTTAGATGCCTTATTCCACTTTCTATACAGCGACTTGGCTTCTCACAAACATTTTTCTTACATCTCTTTCTTTTACATCTTCAACTTTGCGGTTTCCTCTTGGGACTAATGGGACTTTGGCCTTTTTACATCATATTTCGGAAAAAAATGGCGTCTAAAGGGTTAAGACGAGGCCAATGGGACAAGGCCGGTCACAATTCCTTTTTTTTAAAGACTGACATTTTACTAAAATAACGATAGATTTCACATAATTGAATTTGCCTTTTGTCATTTCTTTGCAGTGTTACATCTCAACGGCAACAAGCAGATTTTATTACACGTTTAGATGTGTTCATTCTCATACAGTTTGGTTTTGTTAAAGAATAAATATTATGCATTATTTTTGGCCATTAAAACGATAAAGAGACTGATACTGATGATACTTAACCTTTTTACCGTCATTTTATGTTTTTAAATGTTTAAGTACAAAAATACTGTCAAACAAGTATGATTGCTAAAACAATGCTTTCTGCCTGTAACTCCCTGTGCTGCCACCAGAGGGAGTTATTTTGGGAATTTGTTTTTTGTCGTTTTATTTTTTTCTTACTTGTAAATGACCGGCTACAAACACAGATGTGTGATTGTAAAGAACGGATTTTACTTCAGAATTTGCCAAAACTAATTCATAACAACAATCAATTACTTCGTCTGGGCCCGGGAAAACCCATGTTCCAGCTTCTTCCCTCTGGCAGAAGATATCGTTTTCTTACAATTTGTACTATTTTGATCCTGTTTTATTCCTGTACTTGTCTGGTGCACACTGGGGACTTTTGCACAAGTATTCCAATGTGGTTTTACTGCAAATGGCAAATTAACTGAATCACCCTCAGAAAGTTACGTAGAGCAGCTTTATTCGCTGTTAGAGAATTTGCGAGTCCAGGTGACAGCGGTTCAGGACAATGTTCGGAGTCTCACAGTTTGAGTCCAGCTCGGGTCTCGTGTGGAAGAGTCCTCCTCCTGCAGCGCTCGGAGCCCGTCTGTGAGTCAGAGTTTGGCCTCCGGACTCTGGTTCAGATCTGAGTTCTGGAAGGACGAGCGGATCCTGTGGGCTTCGTTGACCAAGAGGTGACCGAACGCTTTGTTGTACCATTCCGGAGACCTCCCCCTGGACCAAAACACACACAACTATATTCAACTATTACAGTAATATGGTAATAAGAAGGTCATAAATGTGATTTTTTTATACTTTGGCATCTCCTGTTTTTATAATCCGTAATCATTTCACAGCAGCAGTAGAAAGTATTTGTGTGTATTCTTTTGCTCTTTAAAAAACGAATTGTATTAAAAAACATTTACTCAGATTTTTGCTGTCCTTTACTAGAGAGGTACTGTAGGTTCAGATTTGGGCAAGTTAAACATAAGACCTATTAAAGGAGCAGTATTTAAAAATGTGGTCAAAAGTGGTACTGCAGCCTCTCCCACTCTCCCTGACTCAGGTTGCCAGATATGCAGACGAATCCAGCTGGGACCATAACAGCTGAATAGACAAGAGTTTTGTCAACAACAAATCTATAACCAACACCATGTTTTGTCGTTAATGATTTGAGAATCATAACGAGACCTTTTTAAGTTCTGCTGCCACATGGTACTTTACCAGTGAGAATAGCTCGACGCAGTGAGTTCTGGCAACCCGGATCACAGACTTTCTGAATGGTGAAACGGTGGAGGGCGGGACATCAAAATGTAAACATAACAAGATTTAGGAGCTAGAAAACGAATTTTGAAATTCAAATATCTCTGAACTACTGTTATCATTTAAATAAGTATTAGAAAAGAGCAGGTTTTATTAATGCATTATGACAGATTAGGGCCCTTTAATGATGACTTGACATGAAAATCAATCAATCAATCATTTATAGTATGGTTTATAGTGGCTCCACCTGAGGTCCACTCTGCAGAGGTGGGTGAGTCTGGTGCGGTCGGTCCCACTGGGCTCCAGGAGGAAGTGCGACTCCAGGACCACGCCTCGCACTGATCCAGTCCCGGCACTGTCCTCGTGGTCCACAGACGCCGTCACCAGAGCACAGGCGCCTCTGCCCAGGTCTGTGCGCCAGGATCTGAGACACAACATCCACCAAAGTTCAATCCATGCTCATTTCAAAGCACGTACAAATACAACCTACGCACGTACATGTTTTGAAAAGTCCAAACTAGCCTCAATCGTTCAACACAGAAATACAGTAAATCCACTTTTCTGTCAGCTAGTTCGGTCGTAGTCCCTTGTTCATCACGAGGGTTAAGTTCTAAAAATAACATACGAAAAGTGAAATCCTTGAAGAAGCAGCGGTTTTTACCGAGACTGCATCAAGTGTTAAACATATTCTTACCCAAATCACCCTCTAACTCTGAGTAACAGATACTAGTCCCCTAAAAACCAATAGAATAATGATATATTCTAAAATGTGTTCTGTTTTAGGTTAAGCACCGATGCCCCATCATCATACAGTGGGGTAAACGAGGATTTAGTCAGCCACAAATTTTGCACTTCAAAAAAATGAGAGATGAGAGACAAAATAAGACCTCGCTAGTCTCTTGGAGGCAGTTGAGAGTCTGTTTTCTGACAGCCCCAAAACATCACTGCTCAAGAAGAGATTTACAAGGAGGAATGGGCCAAAATACCAGCAACAGTGAGTGAAGACATAGAGTAAAAAACAAGTGACCTCTATCATTGCCAACAAAGGGTAAAAAACAAAGTGTTGAGATGGATTTTTTGTTATTGAATAAATACTGATTTTGAACCATAATTTGCAAATAAATTCTTTTTGTGATTTTCTGAATGTTTTTCCATTCTGTCTCTCATAACTAAGGTATAGCTTTGATGGAAAGGACAGAAATTAAAACGCTCATCTTTGTAAGTGGGAGGACTTGTACAATTGGTAGTTGACGAAATAATTTTTTGTAGTAGTATTTGTACCGTAAATGATTTTTTTTTTTTAAATTTGTAATGGAATAGATACTGATTTGAAAATAAAGGATTAAAAAAGATCAGACAAAGTGATTTTTGTCAGATTTTGTCTCTCATACTATGGATTTTATAGATACTATTTTTTTATGCATTGTGGCTATTTATTATTTTAATCCTGTGTGTGTTTTTAATGTTTTAAGGATTTTAATTACTTGTGATTTTATTTTGTTTAAAAAAAAATTGTGTGTTTTTTGTATGTTTTTTTTAATGTATATGTATGTATATTTTAATGTCTATGATTTGCTTGATATGATGTGGTTTGTGAGGCGCTTTGTGTAGCCTTGTGTAGGAAAGGCGCTATACAAAAAAGTTGATTGATTGATTGATGATGGTGAAAACCACAGCCATCTCTCGTCTTTTTAATTGATGTCTAACTCCAGAATTTTTTGCCCTACCATTCTTCAGTACAGTGGGGCAAAAAAGCATTACGTTTTTCTTACTGTAAATGATCAGAAATTGAATTGAGGAGAGCCTTCTGACCTTAGTACCACGTAGTCGGAGCAGGACTGGGGGGCCATGTTGCGGCAGGAGAACTGATACACGTCTGTCTGTCTGTCCAGCGTCTCCAGCACCTTCTCCTGCAGGAGGTCGCTCTGCCACAGGGGGCGCTCTTTCAACAGCCGCTGCAGCACCTCACAGGGAGCGGCCGCCACCTCCACGCCGATCCTCCAGAGACGCAGCGGGTTCCCATCTCCCACCTGCAACAAGAGAGAGGCAAGAGTGAGTTTATTTGTATAGCACAGTTCAAGGCAACTCAAAAACACTTAACTGACAGGGGATTAAACTCATAAATAATCACAGTACGTTAAAAAAAGAGTGAAAATAAAATCCCCCAGATGTTGCTGTTTTAACCTGGATTTGAAAATTGTCAGAGAAGAAGCCTGTCTCACATTCTCAGGAAGACTATTCAAAATTTTGGCCTCCCTATGGTGAGTCCTGACTCTGGGCACCAGCAGGACACCAGTCCCTGTGCTCCTCAGAGAACCAGCAGGAAGCAGAGACCTGAGACCAGGACTAATGTGGTCCGGACTAATGTGGTTCTAGTCCGGACTTGAGCTGCAGTATATAGAATAATGAAGTTGCTGATGTCACGGTACCTTTTTGAAGGCCAGTTCCGTGTGGTCGATGATGGGGCGGGACATCCAGCTCTTGCTCTTGTCTTTGGCCTCTTTCAGGAGACTTTGGATCAAGTTTTCGATGTGCGTGTGATAGGAGCCTTCCTCGTCCTCCTCTTCATCCTCCTCGTCCTCCTCCTCGTCGTGGACCTTCCCCAGCTCGTCCAGAGGGGGCGCCAGCAGCTCGGCCTCCATGTACGAGTTCCTGGACTGAGTCACCATCTCCTCCGTGATCTGGTCAAATACAATAAGAAGTGATGAAGCAAAATTCAGAATACAACTTTTATGGGTTGGGTGAAGCTAAAATTTGCTCAAGCTATTTTACTTTGCACACACAGTTTATCTCCTGGATAAATCTAATAAACTGCTACATTTCAAGCAGTGCATCTTCTTATTCTTGAACATTTTAACAGAAGAGAAAGAAAACGTTGGGCCTCGAAACAGAGACAAAAACAGGAAAAGCAAGAATCAAGTCTTTGTGAAAAGTTTTATACTTCATTGTTTGTGACTTTTTATAATCATGAAGGTGTTTCGATCACAAAATTACTTTTATTGAATACGAGTTTGATATATTTCTATGTCCAGCTGCTGTGATTGAAACAAAACTTGATGAAAAGCTCATTTATAATGTAGACTAGATTTAAAGATGCTATACCCAATTTATTTTCTAATGAGTTCATAAAAATGCGTATTACTACATACAAGTTGTATTATAACCCGTAATTTAATTGAAAACTTGAGCTCATTGATTCAGCTGTGTATGAATTCAGGCCGTATAAAAGTGCTGAGTAGAGAATTAGCATGACGCCCGCTCTCCTCCACTCACAGAACGAGGAGCAGTGGTGTTACGAACAGGCCACGCCTCCTCTAGGCCACGCCTCCTCTAGCGTCTACAGCGCTGGTAAACACAGCAGCATGGAGCTGATAGCGGCTATAGCTCCTCTGGCTGTAACTGCAGACACAGCAAAACAGCCCAAACTACGCAACAGTGAGGAAGAGAAGAGGGAACTAAAGCAGAAAAATTATCAAAGAAGAAATCAAGCCCGGGTGAACATAGCTAGCTTACATCGTATCCTCTGGAGAGACTTGTCTATGGGAGAGACCTGCGCGACCGCCTCAGACTATCTATGCTCGGACAACATTTGGACATTAACTATCTTTCAGTTCTATATTTTGTTAGCAGTGCGTTGCTTTTGTACCATTTCATCAGTGATTGTTAATGCTAATGTTTGCATATAGATTGCAAATAAAACTAGATGGCTGCGTCGGATAAGAGCGTGGGGGAAATGAGAAGCCTGTGAGCGAGTTGAGGGGCGGTGCTAAACATTCAACCTGGAAAAAACCTTTCAAAAACGGGTATAGCTCCTTTAATAATGTTAAGTTTGAACTTCTGCATTATGCTTTTTCCGGTTTAAAAAGGCAAATATATGGTGTTCTCTTTTTCTTGAAAAAAACTAGCTTTAAAAGGATATTAACATGTCATATTTACACAGACTGTCAATGGGAGCTGCACTAACATTACAGTTTGATGTCCACTAGGGGGCCATATGCAACCTTTTCGGGCCATTTTGCTGCGTGTTTGAGACAACAATATGAGAGTAAGCGACTAAACTACTAGAAGGAAGATGGAGGTTGTACCTGGAAGAGTCGGTGGCACTCTGCGATCATGTGAGACAGACCCTGAGTCGCAGCCAAGTTCTCATTCAAGTCTTTCTGATCAGGACGTCCTGTTGTGTACTTTCTCTGTATAGACCTGCAGGAGAACAGGAAAAGTACATTTACTGAACCAAATTATTACAGTATTATACTGTCTCTTATAGTATAATAGGTATGAACACAGAGAGCCCAGTTTTGCTCCAGCTGCTTTTGGCTTCATTCACTTTCATTCAAATTGTATATTGTCTTTTTCAAACAAGATATGAACCAATAATAAAGGGTGCCTTCCAGCTACGAATTTGGCTTGGTTGAGGCCTGGGCAAACTGTGGGCTGGGGGCTACATGGGGCCCGATTCATGTTTCTATGCAGCCTCCAGACCCTTTCCATCTGTTAAACTGCGCTCTGTTGCCTATTTAAAAGAATGGGAGTCAATACCCAAGGAAGATTTGTGACTTGATGAAAACTATGTCCAAAAAGTTATTAGTAATCATTTGTCAAAAACATTCATCGGTAAATCTGTCTGCAATTCACAGTGTATACAACTATACACTCAAACTTCTATACTTTGGTCCGGTTTTGATTCAATCCAAGCAAAACCAATTGGATTACTTGATTTCACAGATATTAGCATACTGTATTAGCCTGGCCTTAGCCATCCGTACACTCCGCTCGATCATCATTTCACTGCATGTAACGTCTGGGTCTGGTCCCTGTGTTAGCGATTACAATCGGTCATATTTTGACCGGCTACTCAGAGAGCGCGGAAGGCGGGTGTTGTAGGTCGGTACCGGTGACGCCAAGAGTTTGCGCCAAACGGGCAGGTTGTAGTTTGGCAATGGCGAAGAATACGATAGTACAGTAATCTGGTCTGGTTCTATCAAGAAATTGAAGCCGGAGCAATAGGAATGTTTAGCAAATGTAATCGCTGGTCAAGATTGTGGCGCTACTCCCCATGGGCTCCGTTAACGGCAAAGGAGATGGCTAGGCTAAATGCTAAATGCTAACACACTTGGGCGCATTACATACGTCACGGTAAACTCAGATCCAATCGTTTCAATCTGCAAAAGGAGTTTACCCCTCCCACCTGTTAACAGAGCTCATGGAGCACCTCCAGACCTTAGAAAGAAATGTAATTTGTACTATAGTGTGGTACAACCAGGCTATTACTGTATATATCTTTGGTAAATTAAAGTAAATTGTAAACGCATGAAAACTGATCCACTCTCTGGTCTAGCGAGAAGAAGAAGAAATGTGTCTCTTCTGATTGGCTCTTGGGTTGCCATAAGGTTGCTATGAGAGAATTTTGCTTTTTCAGAGAAGCTCAAATCTGCCTCTGCTGGTAAAGGCCAAGCACTATGAGTGATGTCACATTAGTCCACTGCTACCATACACAGAAGATATTGGTAGTCCTTGTTTTGTTATTCAAGTTGAGTTTGTCTGCAGTGGACTGACCTCGGTGATAGCGTCTCGTTCTTGAGTAAACTCAGGTGAAACAGCGATGGTCCCAAACACACGGCGAGGTTCATGGGAGTCATCTGGTTTTCTTCCACCAATGAAGTCACGTCCCGGAGGAAGAAAAGCAGCGTCTGAAGCACCTCTCTGTTTTCGTCCGGCATTAACAAGATGGCCGCCCGCACCGCCTGCAGCCGCTGCTCCTTCGGGACGTCTGCAACAATCACACAAAGAGACGTTCAAACTCCAACGTTTATACAAGCAAACCTCTTTAACACTAAATAATAATCATAATAATACATTTTATTTAAAAGCACCTTTCAAAACACCCAAGGACAGTGTACATGGTTAAAAACAAGAATGCAATTAAAAACATTAGCATAGCATTAGCATAGCATTAGCATAGCATTAGCATAGCATTAGCATAGCATTAGCATAGCATTAGCATACTAAAGAACATCAAAGAACCAATCAGCAAACAAGGTCCTCTCTAGTATTTTAAATTTCTGTCTAAACGATGTGACAGCGCCTTGCAAAAGTATTCATACAGTTTGAGCTTTTGCACAATTTTTCAGTCATATTTAAAACCATAATCATAGATTTTATTTTAAAAAAATTACTGAAAGTTCACACACAAGAAAAAAACTGTATAAATAACAACAGAAACATGAATCACTTTACTTTCACTTCACAGTTTGTTACTTGTCTGTGAACTTTCAGTAAAAAAACAATAACATCTTTGTTTATGCTTGTAAACATGACAAAATATGTAAACATTTAAGGTGTAGTAGTACTTTCGAGAGCTATTCTGGGGCAGCTGCGGCCACTTTGTAATGAGCGGTTCCCGCATCCAGGGGCTGTGAGCGGCACCGCAACACGGTGGAGTGGTGCCGCTCACAGCCCCTGGACGCTCACCGTAACGTGGCCATGAACCCAAGACCATAAACCTGCACAGGACCATTCTCTGCCAGTTGTATGTGTGTTTTTGCGTCATCTGTGCACCCAGATCAACACCGCGTCAGTCCGCGTCTTCCAGGGCTGGACTGGGACCAAAAAACGGCCCGGGCATTTTTGCATTCTTGACGGCCCAAGCATTTCACGTTTTGTTACAGTTTGTTTATACAGTATGCGGAAGCAAATACTGTAGAGGAGGATGTATGCAGTTTCAACAATACATTACAAGAGAGATATGTTTATGTCTCACTCTGAGACATAAACATGTCTCAGAGTGAGGGAGGTGGACACAGACAACACTATTGTTTGTTACAGGGATGAGAATTAGTCAAAAAAGTCTGAAATGCATATTGTCAGCCATTGGCTGGCTCTAAATCTGTTTGATTTGTCCACAACATTATACTTTTGGGCACAAACATGAACTTTTAATGCAATGGAAAATGTAGGTACCCGAGCTTTGATTTAGGGAGTTTAGTCGCGCTTCGAGAGGAGAGGGGAGACCGAGACGTGGACTGTTTCCTGCAGCGGTGTATTTAATGTGTGCACAGATTACGCAAAGACATGCACACAACAAGCAGAGAATGGTCCTGTGCGTGTTTATGGTCTTGGGTACATGGCCATGGGCCGTCAAGAAGGCAAAAATGCCCGGGCCGTTTTTTTGGTCCCAGTCCAGCCCTGGTCACTTACACTGGTAAATGTGGAGGAAGGTCTCTCCCAGTTTGCTGGTGAGCAGCGGCTCTGGGAGGTCTCTGAAGAACTGCTTGACCATGTCGGCCACGTCATACGCAGACTGGTCCTCGTAACTCACAAAGTCCGGCGACAACTCACACTGCTGCCTCAGGGCCTGGATGCGAGACTTCACCCCGGATTTACGAAACAGCCCCACCTAGAGGACGTAAGACAGACTAGTTACCCACTGGATGCACTGCAGAAAGTGAGGGAAAATAAGTCAAAAAAGGCTGAAATTTGGAAAACACATTCTGACTGAGCCTTAGAACAAGATTTGCCAACGGGACAAAGCAAAATTCTCTTGTTTTAAAAAGATACAAGAAATTTCTCCCTTGGAATGAGGAAATAAATGGCTTCATCCCATTGGCCAATCTTGTTTGAACACAGTTAAAATGCACGCAAATTAAGATAAAACCCACTTGATTCGTGCAATTACTATCTATCTTTTTGCAGTGCGTACTTACTTCCTTACAAAGGGAGAACATGCAAACATCACACAGAAAGGGCTGGAGGTGGAATCGAACCCAGGACAAGCACTAATAAACTAAACTTTTTCCGTCTTTTATGTAATTCATTTCTCACCAGTTTTACCAGTCACTTACATCACCTAATTAAACTGGTGAAAAATGAAAGTTTTTTGGGGGGAAATTTAGGAAAATAATTGCTTTTGGAGGACGCAAAACTAATGAAGACAAAAACCACTCACATTCATTACCTCATATTTTATTATGTTTTGCAGTGTCTCAGCCGCTCCAACTGTGAGTAATGACCCAAAACACAAATAGAACAACTACTCTACAGCTTTTGAGGTCATTTTGGGCCTTTAACTTAATCTTTGCCAAGACAAAATGGCTTTCTGCTGGATTTGAATCTACATATTAGGGAACCAATTTGGGTTTGTGTGTTATCCCTAACCCATAGATGATCATGTATGTCTTCTTTATCCTTGAGCTTAGACAATTAGCCAAAGATGCTAACAAAAACCACTAGCATTTAGGCACTTAAAGCCAATAGGATTAGTAAAGACATGACACCTTTTTATAAATGTGAATAATTCGATCTTTAGCTTCCAGAGAAAAGCCAATACTAGTTACCATAGCAACATACTGTTTACTTGCTCTTTGCTGTGTCTTATAAGTCAAAGTACGAGTAAAAAGACCCATAAAATACTTGCTTTTAATAAATCTGGTGGGACATTTAGCAAAGTCTTTGCTGGTGTCGTAAACATTTGCTCTCACCTGGTCCAGACAGTGTGTTTTGAGGTGGCTCAGGGCCTGCTGTAAGCACAGGGGGAGAGGGAAGCCACAGCGCTGGACGTGGACGATCAGTGGGACTCCAAACACGCTCTTCTCTTTGTAGTCGGGAACCTTCATGCGCTTCATAAACTTGGGCACAGACCTGAGAGGAAATCACACCATGAGTCAGGTGTGAGAGAGGGGGAGAGAGGGGGAGGACGACTGTCCACGGCTGTCATTACGGGACATTCCTGGAGCTGGCTGGTCATCACAGAATCCCTCGTGGGTGTAATAAACGCACAGGTTGTTAGCAAAAACAAATATGTGGCTGTGTGTGAGAGACCCTGTGTCTGTACGGAACAACTCCAGGTCCTTTCAATAACAAGTCATTAAAGTGCCCATAACTATTTAATTTAAAGGACTCAGGTTGCCAGATATGCAGATGAATCCAGCTGGGACCGTAACAGCTGAATAGACAAGAGTTTTCTCAACAACAAATCTATAACCAACACCTTTTTCACAAAGATAGAAATCCTGGTTTTATTCCTTGTTTTGTCGTTAATGATTTGAGAATCATAACCTTTTTTAGTTCTGCGCCACATGGCACTTTGCCAGTGAGAATAGCTCGACGCAGTGAGTTCTGGCAACCCGGATATCTGACTTTCAGATTGGTGAAACGGTGGAGGGCGGGACATCGAAATGAAAACGATAACAAGATTTAGGGGCTGTAAAACTAATTTGGAAATTTGAATATCCCTGAACTACTGTTATCAGTTAAAGAAGTATTCTAAAAGCGTGATTGATTAATACATTTTGACAGATTAGGGCCCGTTAATGATGACTTGAGATGAAAATCTTACATATTGCTATTTTAATGCTAATTCATTGTATTTTTGTAAAGCCTAAAATAACAAAAGCAGTTGTCTCTGGGGAAGTGGTCGATTCACCAACAACAGGTCAGACTGAATCAAAGAATAATAACACACACATAGGACACTGAGATTTTTTTTTTTTTACTATTTACAAGACATTTTCTTTTACTTTTGAAATGAGAACAAAGCCAGCCCTAGTTACCATAGCAATGCAATGTTTTACTTGCTACCAGTTAGCATTAGCCTTTCAACAAACTGCTTTTCGCTGTATTTCAAGTTATATTAACCACTTTTAGCACTTAGTAAAAGTGAGAAAAGCAAAAAAAATCCCAGAATCCCATTGGTTTGAAGGAGAGCAGTCAAAATGACGGCTCTGGGAGTTCTAGTAGTTGCATAATTGTGGGAGTCCTAGTGCTGCACTGTCTACATCTTTATACATACAACACCAGAAGTTCAACTCCGAGGATTCTGAAACGACGAGAAATCTCAGAGACCACTTAATAGGAAGACCACCGATGTATTTTAATATGTATTTTAGTAACTTGTACTTTTTATTTGAATATGCAAGTTATATGAATGTATAATGTGCATATATGGAAAATAGCCCGTTGCTAAATTTGGTGCAGCCATCTTTTTAATATAACTTTGCATATTTTCCTAAATAAATGAAACTAAAACTTAAACATATGGCCAGTAATTAAGCTTTCCAAACTACACAAGCTGTCAATTTGACTGCCCTGGGAGTTCTAGTAGTACAGTAGTAGTAGTTTATTTGAGCAGTTTTATATTGTATTTTTACAGGTATCAAAAGGAGAAGACTGAAGCAGGAAGTGAATATGTGCATTCCCTATTTTGAATCCTACATTTAAGAGCGACCGCAGATTCAGATTTTCACATGACATTCCTGATTTTTACCATCATCATGTGACTGTGCCAGAGAAAGAGGAAAACACACACACACACACACACACACACACACACACACACACACACACACACACACACACACACACACACACATACATATACAAATGTTAATAGTGGCACCAATCCTATGCATAATGAACCTCACCAGGTCCATCCGTGTTTGTTGGACATAGAGTATTTCTCCATGATGGCCGTGAGTCTGAGCAGAGAGAACTTCTGCAGCAGACTGAGCTGGCCTGCTGATTGGCTGCTGATGAGGAGCGAGGAGGACGGCTGGTGATCCGAGCTCCGGAAACTGGGCCATCGCAGACTGGGGAAGAACAACAGGTTACCACCAGGAGAAAGTACTATACCTGTTTGTTTAAGGCTGATGACAGGCGCTAGATCAATAGACATCTGAAAATAATCTTAAGTACAAGTTTTATATCGTACTGAGGAACATTCCAAGCAAGACGTTTCAAGAAAATGTCCACACGATTCAACACATTTCAGTAAAAAATGAAAGTTTTTGTCCCATCATTTAATGGTCAGCCAAAGTGTGGATCTAAGATTATTACGGAATATTAATATATCAAAATAATAAACAAAATAAATAAAGTTAACATCTAAAAAATTTGAACAAATATTGGAAATAAAATAAGGAAAAAATTTAGGATTTTTTGGGGGGAAATTTGGGATTTATTTTTTTAATAAATGGCAAAAAAAAAAGGGGAAAACATTTGGAAAATATGTTTAAAAAATGAAATAAAATGAATAGAAAAATTATTATATAAAATAAAAAAATAAAAAATCTAAATATTTTTAAAAATCCTTCCCTCGGCTCATTCTCCACACTCACCGCGGCCTGGTGAGAGAGGCCCCCACCCCGGAGTCCCGTCTCTCTCTGGTCCCAGTGGAGTCTGTGTCATTGAGCGACACAGCGTCCCTGTCCCCTTCGCTGGGGGTGGTCCGGTCCTCCTCCTCCCCCATCTCCCCCTCGGGCAGAACGCTCCGACTCCAGTGATCCACGATCTGCTGCAGGCCGCTCACGTGTTGAATAATATCGTCCAAATGTGGGAACAGGTTTTCCTCCTTCTCCAAGTCCAGCAGATCCCCGGTGCTGGCGTACAAATGCGATCCCGGCACGTTATCGTAGACGCTAACTCGACTTCCGCGTGGCGCTCCAGGACACGTCTTTGAAAGCGCCTTCCCTGACCAATGTTCTCGACCAATCCCGTTCTTGGGAGCCTCCATCCGCGGGCTAGCTTCCCCAGACGCGGGCGCTAAACTCTCAATCGACAGTGCTTTCGGGAAAGTGCCGGGTTTGTGGTCTTTGGGGATGTGAATAAGGAGGTTTTCGTATGAATGGAACTGGTTTTTCCCAAACTGGGCTTGCACAATATCTGTTCTTTTACCCTGGGAGGGTAGCTCCATGTCCTCCAAATACTTACTGCTTCTTTTGTTCGCCGTCCGCTGTTTGGGACGCATTTCGTTGACCGCGGAAGTCTCAACATCGAGGCTATCTGCTACGGGCGAGTCTTTGTGGTTGCTAACAGGACTGACGGAGCCACTGTTTTCGCCGTTTTCTTGGTAGCTTAGCTTGTTACTGTCATCGTTTTCTTGGTAGCTTAGCTTGTTGCTGCTTTCTAATTGGCTAATGGGCGTACATTGTAGCACCCGTAGCGCACGTGGCTCCTCCCCTTGCAAAACCGGCCCGCTAATGACCAAAACCGGCCTCCGATTGGCGCTTTTCCTCCTGGTTGACGGCCCCCACGTCCGCATCAACTCCATCTTCTTCAAAAACTCCTTGGCTTTGCTTTTTCCGCCGTGTCTTTTCACCGGGAGCGTGTTGTAATGTGTGAGTTCTCGCGGCGGTTGGTACGAAGCCGACAGCGACGCCATGGAAACGGAGTCGGGCAGCGCTAACGTGGAGTCCTCGCTGTGGATGGAGGAGATCTCTGTGATTTCTTGCTCGCTCAGGTCGGTCAGGACGCTCTCGCTGCTGACGGTGGTGTGAAGCCCCGCCCCCTGCCCCCCCGTCGGGCTGCTGTCATTGGTGGAGTCCAGGAGGAAGTCTTGGAGGCGCGACCATCGGCGGCTGCTCCACTCGAACGTCCATCTCTTGCTGATCGCCAACGGGTCATCTTCGTCCGAGTCTTCTCCCTGAACGTACAGATGAACATTAGAGAAAAAAATTCTGACTACTGTCGCCGCAGATGCCCTGGGGCACACTGACAGAAGCGAGGCAACCAGTCTGTGCCATCTGCCCTCTGACCACCACCAACCATTCACACACACATCAGACTCATTCTAATGTTTTTTTTGTTACAAAATGTTTTGTTTGTACATTCATTTTTGTCCATTGTACATTCATTTGTGTGACATTGATGAGTATTTAGACCCCAGGAAGAATAGCTGCTGTATATTTCAGAAGCTAATGGGGATCTTGGCACTTTACAGCCACGACTTCGATCACAACGCAATATACTTCAAAGCAAAAACTGATGAAATATAAAGCAGTAAATGTTTGATAAATCTTGATTGAAAACAAGATTTCTCAAAACAAGATTTACCAACGGCACAAGAAGAAAACCACTTATTTCAAAGACTGTTACGTTGTTTTTTATTCCAAGTGATAATTTTCTTGAGCCACGGGGAATTTGGCTTCAAAACTTAAAATGTACCAAAATCAAGATAAATACAATCTAACAAAAAAATTTGACTGGTCCTTTTTTGCAGTGTCAGGATTTGCATAATTTGGCTGAAGAAATTCCCAAAATGAATTTCAAGGTAATTTGAAAGAAAATGGGAATTAAAATATATATATATATATTTTTAATACATACATAAATAAATAAATACACAAAAATACACAAAAAGATACATAATTAAAAAGATGTAAATAAAACAAAAAAAACTAAAAAAATGAATAAAAAACATACATAAATGAATAAATACGAATTACAATACGGACTTGCCTCTTTTATAAAATTGGATGGTTCTAAAAACTACTGCATTTAAAGCTATGTTTAGTTAATGAGTGAGAAATGAAGTAAGTTGGTCAAAAATAATATTGGAATAAATGGGTCAGTTTGGGTCAAAAGTTTGAGAACTAGTATTTCTGACATTAAGAAGCTGCCGTTTCTATTAAAAATCTATTCTTGTCTCACCAGTTGCTACCAATCCAAATCAATCCTTTTTAATTATGACTTCAGTTTTAAGAAATACTTATGAAGAATGTTCTGCCGATGGGAATTCTGTAAACAGTGGAGAAGAAAACGTCCTAATTTTAAATAAAATAAAATAAATAAAAATAAGCAGGAAGTGATTCTGAGTTCCATCTATGTAATTAAAACACAAACCTTTACCACAGCGCTGCTAAAAAGACACAATATACAGAGATAAAAGCCATAATCTAATAGTTACTTTTTGACCGTCTTAAAACCAAATTAGAAATGAGATTAGCCAATAAGGAGCCAGCAAAAACGTGCTATTTTAAAAAAGACAATCCACAACCCAATACTAAAATCATATGAAATGAATGATTAAAAATATGGAGATAATAAATACATAAATAAAAAAATAGTAATAACATCACAAAGAGGATGTTGAAGGAGTGCAGGAGGCCATCTTTAATATGTTTTCTTTTTAACACATGTTTTAGAAAGCGGCCGATAACATATGATTGTTTTTTTGTTTCTTCTCCTTTGCCTTTGTGTGACAAGACAATTATTTGAAATGTAAATGTCATATATTTTGAATTGTCATGTCCACAAATGATATAAAGAAATGAATTTTGAAATACAAAAAATTGATAAAATATGAGGTGAGAATTGCTTGAAAAGAGTGTTTTTTATCAAGTTCATTCTGACTGTTTTTAAACAAGATTCTCCAATGGGACGAAGCCATTTAGTCTTATTTCAACCTATTGGCAAAACATGTTTTAAGGCTCAGTCATAATGTGCTCAAAGTAAAATACATTTTTGGCAAATATGAGCATTTTTTGACTTATTTTTCACTTTTTGCCGTGTAGGGACTGGAAAGCTTTGGCCAATCATGTTACAAGACAACCACAATTCAAACCAAGATACATTTAACCTTTTTAAAGACATTTCCGACTTATTACATGCAGGAAACACAGAAAAAGCAGGATGTATTTGGATTTGTAATAACATTTTACAACAGCTGTGCAGTTTGACCAAAATATGACGTACTGTACCTTTAAATACATATATTTTAAGTATTTCGAAAGTGTAATGAGTTGTTGTAACCACGTCATATGGGCTTCAAGAACAAAACACACTCACCTTCTTCCGTTGGTGGCTCACGTCCAGCTTCATGGAGGCACATTTGTTGAGAGTGTTGAGTCTCCTGCAACACACACACACTGGTCAGACCCTGAGGAGCTGGTGGGAGGGGCCAGGTTTGGATCAGACCATGAGGACCTGCTGGGAGGGGCCAGGTTTGTTCCGTTCCAGCGATTTTTATTTATATATTGTTTATTTGGTCTGGACAGTATGTGTTAATGAAGACATCACACCGGATTGTAGCCTTGGGCTAATTTCCATCCGTTGTCCCACATTCGCACTCAAAAAAACACACTCATTCACCCAGAACTATTGTACATGTTTTTAGTGGTAGGGGAAACCGGAGTACCCGGAGGAAACCTACGCAGACACGGGGAGAACATGCAAACTCCACTCAGAAAGGCCCTGATCCGACCGGGATACAAATCAAACCCAGAACCTTCTTGCTGAGAAGCAAGAGTGCTACCCACTCAGCCACTCAGTTCATGCGATCTCAGAGACTCGAAGATTTCGGATCTCCTGAGTCTCCTGATCTCACTCAGAAATATGGGAATGAACGTTGCCTAACTCGGGAATTCCACTCAGGCTGGATCAGTGGGAGGGCCCTGGTTTGATTCAGACCCAGAGGACCAGGTGGGAGGGTCCTGGTTTGGTTCAGACCCAGAGGACCTGGTGGGAGGGCCCTGGTTTGGTTCAGACTCTGGTTTAGTGGCGCCTTTGGCCCCGTCTCGCTGAGCTGCTGACAGACAACTCTTTGATCTACTTCAGAGGACTCTCTTCAGCCTCTCCACTGTCAACCACCAAACCACTCTACACTAACCACCAAACCAAAGGCCCAACAGCCAAATAATCAAAACAAAAACAAACAAAATAGCTAATACAAAAAAATATTTAAAGCTGGAATACACTGAACATACTGACACAAAATCAGTCAATTTGTCTAAATGTTTTCTTTTGTTTGTAAAAAATGATAAAATATGAGGTGATAATTGCTGAATTGCCATTTAGTCTTATTGACAAAACCGTTGCTTTATTTTCTCATTCCAAAGGAGACATTTCTTGTATCTTTTTAAACCAAGATCATTTTGCTTTGTCCCATTGGCAAATCTTCTTCGGCCCCATGACAAGAACGACAAGAAACCAAAACAAAAACATTAAAAGAAATGCCTGAAGCTAGTTAGCCTAGCCACAGTACCGCAACTTTCAGCTGGCTCCCACTTTGCACCCGAGAGTAGCTTACCTTTCCGCAAAAAAAAGTCCAATCTATAAATTAATGACCTTATTACCGTCACAGCGATTTATGTCTGTAACAAAATTCCTCGTAATAAAGAAGAGATTTAGAGAGACACATTTGGCATAGATAGAATCACTGTGTGCGCAAAAAGCAATACAAATTTGGTCAAAGTAAGATACATGTAGCACATTTTTATAATAATAACAATATTTTATAATATTGTTGACTTATTTTTAATCACTTTCTGCAGTGTCTATATTTGTTTATATTTCCTGTGGACGATTCTGTATAAGTTGGAAGGACCAAAGTGCAAGGTCCCAGTGGGAATCGGCCTCGCAGCCTCAGGACTCTCTCTGTCGCTCTGTCCATGAGCACGTCCCACTTTTTACGAAAGGAAGTCACCGTTATGACCGTTAGCGGCTGGACTCAGAGTCTGTTCCACAAGTTATTTATGATCTTTGCACAACCGTGAACCACTGAATATGATGTTGTTCTGGTTTAACCGTTTTCATGATTGCTCCATCTTAAAGGAGACATAATGTGCTGAATCCATAGTGTGCTGCCCTGAGTGGTGAAAGTTATTGCTACCGTAAAATCATTAATGCTCCAATTGGGTTTCATTGAGCTAGCAGGTTAGCATTGTCCATCTATATCAGTGGTCTCAACCTGTTGCTCGGGAGCTACTGGTAGCTCGCCAACCCCTTTCAGGTAGCTCCCCAAAGGATTCAGGAATTTGACACTTGATCCTAAATTATTTCATTTTGAGTGATTGCACATCATGTTTACCTACACATGTTTTCATTATGCGCACTAATGTAGGGTTACACAGTATTATGGTGCGGTGTGGCACTCGGTGTTCCCAGAGGTGAAATCAAATCATATTCCCATCTGTGAACCAATACTTTTCCATGGATTCTCTCTTTTTTTAATTGTAGCATTTTCAATTGACATTTTGTGATTTGGGCTACAGACATATTCTCCCAATAAAAATAAAAATAAACTAAACAACTAAATATTTTGGTAACACTTTTAGTTTAGCCCTTTAGCAATTATTACCTCATATTTTATCATTTTGTAGGGTTAGGGCTTGGGTTTAGGTTAGATTACACTAATTAGCACTTAAAGATGCAGTCAGTGATTTTTTCCAGACACATTTTTATAAATATTGTGGGAAAACGTCCCTAAACCCTAAAAGTAGTCAAGTTATCATGTGTTTTCAAATAGTCATGGAATTGACCAGATGCCTCTAGTCTCCAAAAATTAATAACAAATATTTTGGAATGGGCCGATAAAAAGATAAGATAAGATATACTTATTGATCGCACACATGAGAAATGTGCAAACATGTTAAATGCAGGATATATTATGTACAATGAAAAGTGTCAATTCAAAAGTGGCAAACAAGAAACAGTGTCAATAGTGCAGGTTTTTCAGTCCTAATGCAGTGACTTAAAGTGACTTATTGTACAGTCTGACAGCAGCGGGGATAAAGGCCCTGCAGGGATGAACCAATAGGATTCGTTCATCCCCAAACTACCAATGGGATGGGTTTACCCCCTTCACCCTCTTCCTGTTTCTCGCGAGTGCGTGCACCTGAGTTATTGGATTTTCTAAAACATAAAAGGACTGAACAGAAAATGCCAATTTCACATTTGCCTCCCACTCTCCCTGTTGTGATAAAGAAAAGAAAATGCTGGATGTTTGGTTTGGTGGAGAGGCGAGGGGAGGGGAGGGGGGAGTGGTTTACAGTTGGTGCTACGGCTAAGCTAACAACATCGCTGACTGCATCTTTAATCAGCTGTTATCTAGTTAGGGCTAATCTAAAGTGTGACCAACATTTTGATTTTGATTCAGTTGATCTTGTAGCTCTATGAAAACCTTGTCTCTTTTCCTTTTTCCCTGCAGTCGTGATGTCTTTCCCATCCCTCCTCTTCCCCCTCTTCTCTCTCCGTCTCCACACAGAGCTGTGTCCCGCCTCGGTCTGACCCCACAGGACAAATGCAGGAGGGAAGACCTTTCAAGATGGCGTCGTAAACACCACGGCGTGCTGCGACCCCTGTCATTGAGAGGCCCCGCTGTCTGCTTTCATGTCGTGTTTACTTTCCCAAACAGAGACAGAAGGGGCTCATTAAGCTCCATAAAAACACATCACAGAAGTGTCATATCAGCTGCAGGAGCTTCTTCCTCAGACCATACTTTTCTTTTGCGTCTAAAAAAAAAAAAAATGGCCGGTGTTGTGTGTTATGTTTGTGAGCGGGTATTTGGGGTTTTGTGTGTCTCAGCCTTTGTAGTAGGGTATGGTCTATACTGTAGGAACTCCACAGTGTCATAATTGTATTCTGTATCTTGATTATTGCATTGTATTATGTGTAGTATTGTGTTGTATGGGTGATAGGGGGTTGCGACCAGAAATTTGCAGCGTTCACTTGATTTTATAACAGGGTAAAAATCTCAGTATTTGCCAGGTCACCAGCAGTTTTCTTTGACCTTCAGACGAAAATATCAAAAGTAAAAGTTGTGATGACCCGCTCAGTCTTAACACAATTTTCACAAAAAGTCTTCTAAAAAAGCCCTGTTTCCACCAGCCCAACTTGGCCCTAGTCAACCCCTACCCAGTTTAACCAGTATCAACGTTTAGTCCCTCTAGCCCTTGGTTCTATCCAGGCCGAGCAGGTACTTAAGCCCTCTAACTTGGCCAGTGCTGCGGTTGCATGGTTATAGGAAGTAAGTAATCTTTATACCGCCTTTCACAGACCAGAGTCACAAAGAGGGTTACAACTGTGGGCACTTGTCCTCTCACTCCACACAGAGATGGGAGCGGGGCCAGTACAGGAGGCACATGCCAGACCTATTGTACATGTTTTACTGGTAGGGGAAACCGGAGCACCCGGAGGAAACCTAAGAATTTCTCCAGATACTGGTTTGTTTTGGGTATGTTGCTTGGATATGGTACAACCGAGTAGAGTAGAGTAGAGTAGGGCCAAGTGAGGCTGGTGGAAACAGGGCTAAAAATCCATATTTGTCTCTTTGGTCCCACTATCATGTGTGACCATCAGAATCAATGAGGATATTTCCTGTGACTATCTCTATCCATCACTAGTTTTCAAAATACATGTATTGCTGGCCTCTGTCACATCTTTAGATCCGCCCCAGCCCTCACTCAAAGCAAGTTATAGCAAAACATCGACCATGAGCACTTCCCCATTGGGCTTCATTGAGCTAAGGGGGTAAGCATTGTTAGCATTGTCCATCTATATACAGTCTAAGATTAAAAACAAGCCACTAGCTTTGGTTGGTGTGTAGCAGAAGGTCTCACTGTACAATTCCAACATGAAAGATGTCTTCTCAGCACAGGGAGTTAATTAAGAGCATGTTTTACAGCTCCCCAGACGCTTCTTTTCAAAGATCCCGATGGTTCTTCTCGCGAGACTAGCTGTGAGGAGCCACTAACGCTGCAATTACGACAGCCGGCTTCTGCCCCCATGGATCCGCCAATGATAAAAGGCCAAAGCTCAGAAGTGAAATGAAAAGCTCAAGTATTCAAGAAAGGAAAGAGAGGGACCGTATTTAAAACCAGGCAAAGTCATCCAGGCCGCATTGCAAAAAGTGAGGAAAAATAAGTCAAAAATTGCTCAAATTTGACAAAATGTGTCTTAATCCGAGCACATCTTGACTGAGCCTTAAAACAAGATTTGCCAACAAGACAAATCAAAATGATCTTGTGTCAAAAAGATACAAGAAATGTCTCCCTTGGATTGAAAAAACAAAGCAACAGTTCTTGAAGTAATAAAACATGGCAGTCAGAATGTGTCAAATTGAATGCGCTGGAAAACGGCAGCAGGTCAGAAGCAGCTCTGAAACAGTTGTTGTTTTGTGTATTACAATTTTAATTTGTATTGCTTGTTTCTGCCTGAGCTGTTGCTGCAGTACAGTGTTCATGGTTTTGCACTGGTCCAGACCAGAGTGGAGAGGATTCATGGTCCGAACCAAGTGGATCAGGGGAAAATCCACTGCAGGAATGCTACACTTTATGAGAAATGCTAATGAAGCATTCAGCATTTTACTTTGGACCAGAGCAGAGAAAATGCTCCGAACCAAGCGGCTCCATCTCTGCTGCTGTGACCTGAAAGGCTGTTGCTGATTATTACTATTGTTAGCATTTTAGAATAATACATTTTATTTTTTATTTTTTTCTGCTATTGAACACCTGAATTTCTCCAACGAGGATCAATAAATCTCGAATCTAAATTCAGATATAAACACCTCAACTCAAGCGATTATTTCCTCATATTTTATCATTTTTTTGCAGGATGGAATCTCATACACACTCCTACCCAATTACCCCCCCTCCCCCCGCCTCCCTCAGGGTTCTCTTGGCTCTTTGAATGGGAGATCAGAGCGTGGCACAGGGGGAGGGGAGAGGGGAGAGGGAGGTGGCCGGATCAAAGGCCCAAAAGCTGGAGTGGAAGACTGGGATGGGGTCTTGGTTATGGGCTGGGGTCAGACTTAAACCCAGTGATTAGCAGTGAGTGGACAATAGTTCCCGCAGAGACCTGAAGGACTGAGAGAGAGAGCGGGTAAATGGTCCAAATGAGGAGGTCTGGAAGCTGAACTACACGGGGTCTGGGTGTTTGGAATTTATTAATATATTTCAGAGGTGAGAAAGAGATGTTTTAATGCTCCGGAGATGAGAAGCAGCTAATTTAGCATTTTTGTTTTAGAATGTGAAAGAAACGTAAAAAGAAATTGATAAATGAAACATATATACTAACATACATGTTTTACTTTTGAATGCGCTGGAAAACGGCAGCAGGTCCTGAGTAGCTCTGAAACAGTTGTTGTTTTGTACTTTATACATTTAATTTTTTTTGCTTTTTTCTACCTAAGATGTTGCTGCAGTACAGTGTTCATGGTTTTGCACTGGTCCAGACCAGAGCGGAGAGGATTTATGGGATTAATGCAAACTTTTTGAAAAATGCTAATGAAGCATTCAGCATTTTACTTTGGGCCAGAGCAGAGAAAATGGTCCGAACCAAGCGGCTACTCCACCTGCTGTTCCACCCAGAGGCTACACCACCTCTACTGTGGGGCCTGCTCCACTCAGAGGCTACTCCACCTTGTGACCAGTCCTGCTCCACCCAGAGGCTACTTCATCTCTGCTGCTGTGACCTGAAGGGCTGGTCCTATCAATACGTCAAGTATTGATAGGAGGATCAATACTTTATTGATCCTCCTATGGGGATCAATAAAGTATTTATCTATAAATATTTTATCAATATTTATGGACATTGGTCATTGGCCCCTTATGGACCAATCGCTCTGTGTTTTTAAGATTAAGAGATTGTTTATCCGGTGAATTTTCAGCGTTACATAACCAGTTACAGCACAGTAGGAATGAGCAATAACTCTATACTAAATAAAATAAAATAAAAATCTCAAGTACAAAGAAGAAACAAGTGTAAAATCTCTATCTTTAGCCTATAATGAGAACAAAAAACTCTTGACTTTTTATCATTGCATTTCCTGTGTTTGAACAGTTTGATTTTCTGATCTGTGTTGGCGAATCGACAGCTTTGTAAAGTCCTCTAAGATAAAATACTGCTGTGATTTAGGGCTCTCCATGGCCTTGCACCAAAGTCCATCAGTGACATGTTAGTGCCACATGAACCAACTCTGAGGAGCACAGGGACTGGCCTCCTGTTGGAACAGTCATCCTGAAAATGTGAGACAGACTTCTTCTTTGACAATGCGCAAATCCAGGTTAAAAACAGGTCGGGTTTAGCTGCATACAACTCAGGGATTGTGTGTGATTAATGTATTTCACTTGCCTTGTGCATGTGCTATACAAATAAACTTGCCTTGCCTTGCCTATAATAGAAAAAAATATCACGGAAACACCCCCATCTGGTGGTAGGAGCGGAACATTACAAGCTGCTATTATATTAAATCTGTTGTAACTTTAAAATATCTATGAGATCCCTATCACTCATTATATCCGTCATAAACTTACGTCGCCATTTTTTGTTATTATGATTATTTATTATTATCTAAAACATCAAATAACTAAGTAAAAAGTCTTATGATGAAATGTGAATGGCCAAAAACAATGTATAATACGCCGTACCGGCACAGCGGCTCCACCAAATCCCGATCCAGGAAATCATGGTCCCTTTTGACGGAAGAAATGTCGATGGGAAACTGCGCATCTGCGAAAAAACAAAGGACACAGATTGTTTTTTTCGTTGTGGTGAATGATTGACAGGAGACAACCGTGAGAGCCCTCTGTTGTTGGCACCTGTCGCTGGCATTTTAGGAACACGTCTCAAAGCATTTTTCACATATCTCCACACACAACCACAACTCGACTCCAGTGTTTTTGAGGTTTTCTCTCTGATGCAGAAGCCCAACGAGCCCAGACCACAACCCCACACTGTCGTAGCTGCAGCAGATGTAAGCTAGCATGTGCACACAGCTATATGTACTGGTAGTAAATGTATTAAATGTATTAGGGTAATTGTAATTTGTAAATTTCACTATATAAGAATGGGGTAAGAGTTTTTAAGATTTTTTTTTCTTCATCCTACTCCTGTTCTTCCTTTCATGGAATGTATTACTGTTGCATTTGCTGGATTATTGTTATATTTTATTGCATTAAAAAGGGAACAAAATAAAAATATTACAAAAATAAAAAGCTGGGGTATTTAACTTTCAATATTTGTCTATACTTTGTCTGTAATATTTGTTTATATTTTATTGTACATAATCATATCCTGCGCAGATTATATTTTTAACCTTAAACATGTTGCACATGTTAAATTCTGTCCGTGCCCAAACCTTTTCATACGTGTATTTGAATATGTATTGAGTATATGATATGTATGATATACATGTATGATGTGTATGTGCACATATCTAAAAAGGAAAAAAAAACATGTGTATATTTAAGTGGGACAGAGTTGTGCTGAAGCCACTGAAGAAGATTAATTTTCTACAAATATCCTCAATTTGAGTATTTCCAAGTTCAGGTAGTTTCATAACATGACATATTAGCATCACTTAGCATCCACAAACTCTCTCGGTGTGGTCACTACCAGCCGCATGTGATGTGAATAAGCTACTTGTTTGTCCCATAACGTCAGCACGACAGTATAAATGAATAGAAGAAAGACGAGGATGAGAGAAAGCGAAGTGGAGAGAGTCCCAGCAGCGATAACAAGGCCTTTCCCATGACCCCTCCTTAAAGACAGGAACTGAGGCCTGGAAATAGCGCGGGACGTCCCAAAGAGATGGACAGACGAAGGAGAGAGGAGACCAGCACAGTCTATAAAGTAATGCTATGGGAATGGCAACTTAAGGGGTTTGAAAAGAACTAAGAAATATGGAAACTATTTAGATTAGCCCTCACTAATTAACAGCTAATTAAGTGCTAGCTAGAGTATCCTAACCCTAAATAATCGGAACATCCCATTGACTTAAAATGGAAAAGCCCAAGCCCTAACCCTAACCCACTTGGGAAATTGGCAATTAGTAGTTATTTACATGCTGAATAAGCTGTGTAGAATAAATTGACCATAAATGATACACTAATTAGCAACTAATTAGTGTGGGCTAAACTAAAGTGTGACCAGAATTATGTACCATCTGTGTTCATTTTTGTGAAATGTATGTACAGGGGTTTGAAGTAATTAGTACAAGTGATAGTAATAATGATTTACTATAATTAACAACAGTATCAAAATATTCTCCCCAAACATTCTGGTTGAAGTTGTAAAAAACTTGACCTTAGAAATTCTTAAAACTACTGTCTCTATGATGTTTTAGGCTTTGCTAATGTGTACACAATTTGAAAGAGGAGCATTTGGGCAGCAGGGGTGGGGGGATGTGTTTGTAGTGTAAATGGAGCTAAAAACAACTCCAGGTCTGTATTTGATGATGTGGTTAAGAACATACCTTCGTAGAGCTGGGCGTACTGTGGAAATCCTGCCGCTCTCAGCCAATCACAGGCCTCCTTCGCCTCAATCTCTGTAAAGACACAAACAAACACGTTAGATTGTTCTAGACCTGGTTCACTTATTGGAATTTTTGAAAATGTGATTTAATATTCTTCTTTTTCTCCCCTTCAGTACATAAATAGGATGGAAGCATAGCCTAAAAAACTCTTAAAAAAATATAACTTATAAGAAGGTGAGACAACCGTCTCCTTAGCAACCGTTGTCATGACCGAAATGAACACACACAAACACACACACATTTATATATTTTGCGTGCACTGTAAAAAACATGTTTGACAAAAGGGACTACTTTATGAAACAAGAACCAGCCACATTTTCTTAGCAACCGTTGTCATGACCAAAATGCACACACACACACACACACACACACACACACACACACACACACACACACACACACACACACACACACACACACACACACACACTCACACACTGAGGGGACAAGGTTTTCCTACACAACACTTAAAATATAAGGAACTCGCCATTTCCCGTTTTTTTATTTGAGAATCCCATCCACGTCTTTAACATTTCAGAATTTCAAAATTGAGTTACAGACCATGTGTACACGTTTGACAATAAAATAGAAAGTCATTCAGAGTTTTAATTATGTGTTTTATTATTGACATAGAACATATATTAGGAGTGAAAGAAGCCGGTTTGAACATAAGCTAGCTGGGGGCCAATTTCCTTATATGGGCATTTGTTCCGATGGCATTAGCTTTGCATTGTAACGGGCAGACGCTAAAATGGTCGTCAAGGCAAGCTGGAGTTTTTCCCGTTAATGACCACTTCCCTATTGGGTTTCATTGAGCTAGCATGTTAGCGCTGTCCATCTATTTACAGTCTATTTATTAGCAGCATTTACAACTCAAAATTTAGCACTGAGAATTATCTCCCACACACGTGTTTAACAAACGTTTTGGATGTTCTTGTTAGCGCTTCTTTGCGTTTAAAATGTGCAGCCATTAATTGTCAGAGAACGTTGTTTGTATGTGAGGCAGATTGCTCCCCTTTAACAGGCCCTACAAACAGCAGCGCAGCCCATTAGTGCCGCGAGAAACTTTATGACGGTTTTCCACAGGCATATGTACCAAACACACTATAACTCTATAAGTCTGGATTCGGTTTACGAGGAGGAAACAGGTTTACAGTACAAGACTGAGGGGTGTTTACTCAAAAAACAACAAACACAGACTGTACAACGAACACTGAGGACTAAATAACACTGTCAACCTGACCTCACATGTGCAATATCTTGAACCAATGTCAGAATGTGCAATATCAAACCACATGTGTCACTCTCACTGTGTCCCAGACTTTTATACTTGCTTCTTTATTATGCCTAAGGTAGACATTTTTATACTTCTTTTTCATGCTAAAGTAGGAGATTATGATTGCTTCCTTATTATGCTAAAGCTAGAGATTTTATTTTACGTTTTTTTTAATTAGTAGAGAGTTTAGTAGAGTATAGAGCAGTGTTAGAGCAAGTACAACAGTAATATAATTCCATGAAAAATGTAAAGGAGTCAGATGAAGAAAAAAAAAGTATAAATCCCATTAGTTTATTGATATCTCTTAATCTTAATCTTATGAAGCGGTTATAAGAAATCAGATTTGTGTCTTATGGGCAAATTATTAATTAATCAAACATCATCCACTTATTTGAAACATCTCTATTAATTAGTGAGTTTTTGCATGCATAAGAGTCAGAAAAGGCAGATCTAATGAACTAAAAGTAATCATGAATGTGGTAGCACTTATTATCACACAGGCTTACACCTTTGAGCTGAAAAATAAAGCTGGGGGACCTAACTTTCAATCATAATAATGGTACTATACAGTAATAAAATACATGTAATAGTTTGGTTCTATCTGTGTAATTTCGCATGTATTTCTTGCTTCTGTCACGTCTTTAGATCGGCTTTTTTGAGACAGAAACGTGATAAAGAGAGGATCGGTCTCACTCGGCCAATCAGCTCTCAGCCCAAAGAGTCCAATACTGACTCACAGGGCTCGTTTTTACAAGGATGCACTAATGAACATGTTTTCGAACAGGAAAATTCAACTCATCAGCTCTCAGCCAAAAGCGCATAAGAAAGAGTCATGTATTATTTATTGTTATTTATGGCAAAGTCAGATTCAGCTTTTATGAAGTGTTTTGTTTCTTTCAATAAGTTTATATTTTCATTGTCAAGCAAAAATGCAGGTAAAACATGACATTTTGTGCTTGTTTCATTGGACAGTCTTCAGGCAACTACTTACCATTCAATACTGAACTACTCAATACTCAATGTCCCCTTTCACATCCTTCTGAACCTTTTATACAAAGTTGAAACTAAAGAGAGAGAGAATAAAAAAACAAAACAATATTCACAAAAACTGGGAAACTGTTCGGAAATATTGACAACTTTGTGATGACCTCCGAAACAACCGCCCTTGAGAGTTAGAAAAACACAAAAAATTAATGTAATTGAACATATTTGACTCTGAACAAAACTAAAAAAGGAAAAATTCTTGCCACTTTCTGAGGGTCCAAAAGAGAAGGAACAAATTAACAAAAAAACTAAATATTTAAATTTCATACATCAAACCCATTTTCAAACCTGTATTAGTGTTAAAATATGAAAAATTGCGTCCTGTAGGTTTGAAATAAATCTAACCTTAACTAACTGATTAATATTATTATTATTATTATTATATTTTTTTTTTAAATTAAATTCACTGTTTTCTTTATTCCCACAGACAAACGGTCTATAGATCCAGGACTCAGGCTACAGCACAAGGACCAATTAAATCAACAAGTTCAAGCAACAACAGGACTTTTTAACTTTAACTACAAGAGAAATATATCAACTACTTTCTCAAATTCCATAAAAATCTCCATCAACGCCTCCCACACATCTCCCAAACTTTACCTCCTTGTTCTCAAACGTCTCTCTGACACTTACAGACAGAGCGCCAGAGTTCAGCCGCCACACAATGAAATCCTTCAGAAATGGAAAACCTTCGAAGCAAATCAAAACTTTCCCCACAATCCAGCAATTACACGAGTCTGCTCTGCATTCTCCACATAACTCCACTAAAATCAAAAGCCGGCATCGAAATAGTCCGTTTGGCAACAAAAAATACAGGCGTTTTTGTCAGTTTGCGAGGTGTCGAAGTGCTGGCAAAAACTTACTTGGCGCTCTCATTGTTCGGGTATGACATGCTGCTTGTAGTTTTGCGTTTCCTGAGACTTCTTCCTCTGACCGTGTGTTTACAACTGCCCCTCACGGTCTCGCTCTGAACGCACAAAAACTATGACTGTACTGACTCCTCCCCCTTTGCCTTGCCATTCAAATGAGTGTTAAAGCTGGGGTTTCTCTCTCTTTTGTGTCTCAAAGTGAAAGTACATGTGTCTGCTGTCACTTTACAGAGAGAGAGAGAGAGAGCAGAGGGAGAGAGAGAGCAGAGGGAGAGAGAGAGCAGAGGGAGAGAGAGGAAGGGAGACCAGAGAGAGACCAGAGACTAGAGAGAGAGAGGAAGGGAGACTCGAGAGAGACCAGAGACTAGAGAGATAGGAAGGGAGACTAGAGAGAGAGAAACCAGAGAGATAGAGCAGAGAGAGACCCAAGACAGAGACCAAGAAAGAGAGAGTCAAGAGAGAGAGCAGAGAAACAGACCAGAGAGAGACCAGAGAGAGAGACCAGAGAAAGACCAAAGAGAGACCAGAGAAAGACCAAAGAGAGACCAGAGAGAGAGACCAGAGAGAGACCAGAGAAAGACCAAAGAGAGACCAGAGAGAGAGACTAGAGAGAGAGACCAGAGAGAGACCAGAGAGAGACCAGAGAGAGACCAGAGAGAGACCAGAGAGAGACCAGAGAGACCAGAGAGAGACCAGAGAGAGACCAGAGAGAGACCAGAGAGAGACCAGAGGAAGACCAGAAAAAGAGACCAGATAGAAACCAGAGAGACTTTCTGCACTCAAATCTACAGTATTTTGTTTCTGTATTATGCTAAAGCTACAGATTTTAAGACCCTCCTGCATCAACAAGGACCCACTCAAAAAACCCAGCCTTGCACTTTTCAAAAACATCAGTCAATAAAAACAGCCGGTGCATCAACAGACTGTGAGTTTTTGTAAAAGCCTGAAAATCTGCTCCGTACGTGACATCACAGTCTGAGGATCTGTCCTTTGCCACTTATCTAATCACAAAGATCCACCACTGCTTTGAACTCTCCTTAGTCACATCCTGATCTCCTCTTCTCACAAGCCTGTCTGTATGTCCTGTCTCTGCTGCTGCTGCTACTGCTACTGCTGCTGCTACTGCTACTGCTGCTGCTACTGCTACTGCTGCTGCTACTGCTACTGCTGCTACTGCTGCTACTACTACTGCTGATGCTGCAGCTGCTGCTACTACTACTACTGCTGCTGCTGCTGCTGCTGCTACTGCTACTGCTACTACTACTGCCGCTGCTACTGCTGCTACTGAGGTTCCCTGGGTCTGGGTCTGATGAGGCTCTGATGCTAATTTCTGATGTCGTCCTGAGGAGACTGTGACCTCCAGAGAGTATTCAGACTGACGTTGAAGCCTGTGGCCCGTGTCGAGGCTGTCAGGAGTGTTGCGAATCAGACATTAGGGTTGGGCGTGTCGTTCAGAGCCTGCGGGTACGTGTCTGGATAGGCAAGGCCAATTTTTTTGTTTAGCACAGTTCATACACAATCTCCCATCTCTCTCTGGTCTCTCTCTCTGGTGTATCTCTGATCTCTCTCTTGTCTCTCTTTAGTCTCTCTCTGTGGTCTCTCTGTGGTCTCTCTCTGTGCTCTCTCTCTGCTCTCTCTGTGGTCTCTCTCTGGTCTCTCTGATTGATAAACGACATCATATTGTAATAAATGGGAGCATTCTAAACTCCCATTTACTTCTGACTGTGTTAGCTAAACTGGTTTGGATCCGGTTCGAAGGACCAGCCCCTCAGTGCGTCCTATGGGAGACCACACAGGAAATCATAACAGACCAAACAGCAGCC